CCGGGAGCCGGGGCAGGGGGGAAGAGAGGGGCTGGAGAAAGAGGAAAAGGTAGAAAGGGGAGAAACCCAACGTCAACTGCTGGGCAACGCCATGGTGGCCGGAGAAGGGAGCAGCAGCAGAGCTAGTCCGCGCCGCACCAGAGCGCTCCGCAAAGGGAGGCCGGCACCCGCTGCATGCGCCTTCCCCTCACGCTCCTGCGCTCCCATTGGGCGACGGCCGCCGCCGCCGCAGCCAATGGAGAGCGCGCGGCGCGGAAACCGCGCTGTCATTGGGTAAGATGCGTTCACTCACGCCCGATAGGGTTACAGCGCGCCAGCTCGGCGGCGCTCATTGGCTGCCGCCCTAGGGGGAAGGAGGCTGCGCCAATGGCAGGAGCGCCTCGCGCCTGAGGGAGGGGGGGCCCGGCGGCGGATGCGGCGCGGCGGGGCCCGCGCGTTCCTTCAGGCGCTGCGGGACTGGGCGCGGTGGGGTCCCGGCCCTGCCGGCGGTGACAGCTCGGCAGGGACGGTTCGGTACCGCCGAGCGCCCCCGTGGCGGCAGCCATCGCCCTGAGGGAGGGCGGAGCAGGGGTCGGTTCCGCCGCTCCCTCAGGCCGCGCTGTCCTCCGCGCCCCCGCCCGGGGCGGGCGGCCCCGGCCGGGTTGTGGTTCTAGCGGTGTTAGCGGTAAGGCTGAGGCCACGGCCGGGCCACGCGGGCACGGCCTCCCCCGCGGCGTGAGTCAGTCAGGCAGGGCTGCCCGCAGCGGGAAGGGCCGGGGGGGAATCCCGCCCGCGGCGGCGGTTGCGCTGTGGCAGGGTGACCCCTGCAGTTCTCCGGCGTGAAACGCGCCTGCAGCCCTGCAGAGCATCTCCGCCCTCAAGGTCAATATTCGTCCTCGGGCCAGGAAATCGGGGTGTTGTAACGGGCAGGTAGAAGTTTGACTGGGAAACTGAGCACGGAGGGTTTGTCTCCTGCAGTCCCCAGGTCTCAGCAGAAGGGTAGTTCCCCGCTGTGTAAGCGGAGCGGCAGGCATTCCTTGGCAGCTGCCTTTGCCCCTTGGCTGCGGCTGCCTCTGCTCGCGCTCCTGCAAAGACACAGACTGCCACAGCTGAGGGGCTTCACCTCTCCTTGTTAAGACTTTTTCCCTTCCAGGAAGAAATAAAACTTATGTTCCTAGCTTCTTTTCTTTTTTTTTTTTTTTTTCCAAATCTAATCTGAGTTTATTCTTAGTAACGTTACATTCCATAATTTAGAAGCTAGTAACTAAGTGCAACGTGTTTACAATACCAGTGGTTGCTGCGTTGCCAACCATTCAGCTTGCTTCTAATCTTTTTTGTGAGTTTTACTAATTTTCTTTTGGTAAGACTCCTGGCAAATCTCGGCTGATTTCTCTCGCAGTTATTTTTAACTTCCAAACAGAACATATAATTTGGCTTTTCCTCTTTTTTGAGGGGGAATGGGCAGTTAGTTAAAAATGCATTTTTTTCATTTTATGACTAAGCTTATTTCCACTTTGAAATAGAGGAGCTGTCTTGGTGGTTTTTTGTTTGTTAATTTTAATGTCTGTCGTCTTAGCTTCTAAAAGAAGCAGCTTCTCTTCTTAGAGACTATACCCAAATTGCTTGGATTAACAATACTAACACATGTAGATTAATGGAGGTCTCAGGTAAAACCTTATTTTCAGCTTTTTGTGAAGCTTCAGGATGGCAGAAGGCCAGTATATAATCAATCACAGTACATATACATAATAGTGTTTTTATAAAGTTTGAGGACTGTATTTCAAACTAAATTTGCAATCTGTATGTATACTGGGAAAATCAGGATGCTATTTCCAAGCAGTTAAGCTCACTCCACAGCAGGATTTCAGCTGTTTGGCTCCAAGGTTCTTCCAAAGTCTTGGTAATTTATTGTTTTTTACTCTTCACCTTTCACCAAGCAAAATGCACTCTTCAAGTTTTGTGTTCAAAACTACATTTTGCTCTGGAAATAAAATTCCACAGTTTTTTACCATATGTTGCTCTTCATATATGTAAAAATACAACTGTTTGAGTATTTTGACATGATGTAAATATCAACTGATCAACGTAAGGATAAGGAACAAATTAGAAGCACAGCAGTTTTTAGAAAGGTGGTCAGGCTGAAATACACTTTTCACATCAATTCAGTACTGGGAGAGCTGGAATGAAAATGGCAACAACTGGACTCAGAAGTTGACCACAATTGAACAACTGGGTTGGGGCAGGGTGATGGCAGCCTGTCCCTCATGTGTGGTAATATATGTGAACATGACACTCATTGTCTTTCACTGACAGCTCAAAGATTTGTCACAACCAGACCTTGAGTCTAAAGGACAATTGTGAAGAATATATAGGTTTAGTGGGTGTTATTTATCAAGGTGACCGTGCATCTCTCTCATCTATGGAACGGGAGAAGGCTTTTGTTTTGATTTAGGCAAACATTTGCCACTTCACATTGAATTAATATTTTCTAAGTAAAATATAAGAACATTTTGAATACTTTTTAATACGCAGCAGTGGTAGAACAAATTGAATGTTCTGCTCAGTAAAGTGTATCTAAACATTCATAAAGCTCTCGGGCGCTTTAAGGCTCCAGGCTCCAGAATGGCTGTGTATCCTGCCCATCGCAGTCAACATCTGTGTCTCTGTGTGCTAGCCATTTCCCTGGCCCTTTGTCTCTCTCTCCTCGATGATACTGCTGCTATGGTGAAAAATAGAGAGAAAGAACAACAGGATATTGTCCAATTCTGGTCTGCATGCCAACAGTGACAAAATGTTGTTTTCTCCTCGGTTTGGGGATTCTTGTTGGCTTTTATTAGTCCTGGGCGAGCCTGAACCCATTAAGATGTTTTTAAAATTCTTCCAGTTAGCGTGGAAACCCTGAGTCTCTGGGAGGAAGGTGGTGTCCCATGCCCTGACGCAGACATTCCTGTCCTGGAGGATGATCCTCTGACTCCTGCAGAGGAAAAGAAGAGTTCTGTTGTGAAACACAACAGGAAGGTGTCCAGCGCTGCTGTGTGCCAGAAGGACACCTGCAGAGCTGCCGCAGGGGTGGAAGTGAGCCACAGGCTGTATGGATAGTGCTGGGAAAACTGCACGGCTGTACAGATCTGACGCCAAACTAGGGTGCTATTTTTGGGTCCCGTTCTGCTTTTCTGACACCTGTAGGTAAGCGCGAAGCGCACACAGACTTCTGCAGCGCCTCGCAGAGCGGAGGAGCCGTCGCAGGGTACGGCACCGCAGCGAAGCGTTCTTGCTTAGCAGTCAGGATTAATTATAACCCCGGGAATATGAACTGTAAATGCGCTGGAGCTGCCGAGGCAGGAGGAGCTGGCTGGGTGCCAGCGCTGGAATGAGGAGGTGCCATCGCGCCGGGAGCAGCAGGTAGGAGCCAGGTAGGCAGGGAGCCCCACGGAGGTTGGCGGCCAAATGCTGGGGGTGCGGCGGGAGGAGGGTAGGCGTTCAACCGTTATTTTGGGATGGGGATGCTTCTCTATCTAATTCGATGCTTGTTTCAGTCAGCCTGCTTTCAAAATAGGTTATTAGTGTACAGTGATGCACTTTATGATTTTTAAGAAAATCTTAGCTTTGATGCATCCTTAACATGAAATAAACCCCTGAAATCTGCAATCTACGTGAAGCGTAGGCAAAAGCTTCAGCATGTTCTTCTGTTGAGTGGGCCACAGTCCCTTCTTTGCTGCACCCAAACAAGGCATCAGTGGTGATAAAGACCGTTGGGAGAGGATGAAGCGAGGTGAAAAATGACAATTGAGCCATTTAATGAGTTGTATTAAAACCACCCAGGATAAAATGGAATAATATATGGCACATTCTGCAATAAGGCCACCTAAAACTAAGAGGCAGAGTTAACAAATGCTTTGATAGATAAATGTCAGAAACTTAAAATATCTGCTTGAAGTGTAAGAAGTGATGAAGTGTAGGAAAACCACAAAGGTGAAAGAAATACATGTGCTAATTACATAATTATGAGACTACATAAGAAATACCTGTGAAGGGGGAAACTTACGCTGCTTAGTTGTGAAGACTTCAGTGGGAGTTCAACTGAATTGATGAAGCTGTAATTTCTGTTAAGCTGTAAGCTTTGGAAAAGAACCTTCTTTGTAATTTGTAATTAATGTTATAATATTGTTTTAATGATCTGGTGTATTAAATAGTTGACATGGAATCAGTAATCACTAAAAAGTTGGTTTTTATTATAGCTTCAGGGCACTAAAGTCGATGAGTTTCCTGGTTGTGTATCCAGTTCAGGAGTGCTATGTTAATAGTTTTATACCTTCTGGAAAGCTCTAGGTTCTCTCTGATGAACGGTTTCTGATGCTGGTATACAATGCTTTTTTTTTTTTTTTTTTTCCTCTTCTAAGGACTTTTTGGAATTGTAGAATACTACTTACTTTGAGCTTTTCTATATCTAAGAAGAGTAACTATATCAGATGTGAGAAGGAAACTTTCTTTTGCACCCCTTTGTAAATGATAAATGTTCAATCTTGTGCTTCAAAGCTATTTTCTTTCGAAATACTAAATAGTTCATAAGTATTGGCTAGCTCTGCTTATACCCAGATCATAGCCTTTTAAACAAGACCTGATTTAATTCTAGTATTGCTTTTATTACACTTCTGTAAAGAAACCGAAACTTACACTATTGTCCGGGAGTAAATGCACAGAGTTCTTAACCCTGATTTCCAATGTGACCATACTGATTTTAAGTTGATGCTACTCTTCTGTCCAGTTATGTTTTAAGAATGTTATAGTCTTGTTTTAGTCTTTTGAAATATCTGTTGCTCAATAACTGTTACAAGACTTTGCTATATTTTAGTATAAATATAAATAATAATTTCTTTGCAGGTGTACCTATTGGATGCTTTCTGTGATCTTTACTAGTGAATCTGCACAAGCAATTCTTTCCTGAACTCACTTTAGAAACTGCACCTTGGCCCTCGTACTCCTTTAACTCCCAGAGAAATAATTACATTTATCAAGACCTTATTGCCTACTGAAAAATATAATGACTGAATTCCTGGTGTGTTTTAATTGGTGCAATGGTGAACAGCCCCAGCCGGTAGGTAGATGCACAACTGCCATCCTTTATTATATTTGAAATTTTGTCTTTTAGTTACATGGAAAACACTTCCATTGTCATGTTGTTCTAATTAGTTTGGGCGAAGTAATGCAAAAGCTAAAACGAGACATGTTAAGCTATGCTTAAACTATGTGTGTTTTGCCAGAAGCTTTGGCCACGTTGACTATTTGCAGTTCTCTGGTCCTAAATTTCCAACACTGAAGCAAGCTTTTGCTAAAATTCAGTTAGCAGTAATAAAAGTGACTTTGACCCTCTCTTACTGCAAACAGTCTGAAACTTCACCCAGGTTGCAGTGAAGAGTCATTAGGGGTCACTGCTGACTGCCTTTTTTTTTTTTTTAACTCAGCTGCTTGTTTCTCTCTAAAAGCTGTTCATGTTTTCTGAAAAGACACAAGATATCTTCTTTCTTCTAGAAGAGGCGTCGGAGACTGGACCGGAACATGATAGGAGAACCGATGAACTTTGTACACACTGCGCATGTTGGGCCAAGAGAGATGAGTAGTGACTATTCATCAGTAAGTGTGTACATCTTGGATAAGCAGAAATCTCTGCTCAGTAACCTTTAGAGCAGGTAGCTAATAAATACTAGGTAACTGTAAGAGAGAAAAATCTGGGGGTTTGGTGTTGGGTTCTTTTTTATATTAATAGAATTGCTTCAGAACAGAACTGTCCTTTAGCTTGTAAATATAAGATAGTGTTGAAGATATTCAGCAAGAAGTGCTCATTTCCCCAGTATCTTTACATACGATGAGAACCTTTTGCATGAGGATTCCGTGGATGCACTTGATACTAGATCCAGATAACACATCACCCTGAAGTCAAAGCTGTTCCAGGGAGAAGGATGTAAAAATAAGTGGATTTTGGTATAGCAAGACCCATCTCATACACTGATTTGAAATAGTATTTAACAATCCTGGGGTTAGTTGTTATTTCTCCCTACTACCATTGGGATCCAGCACTGTAAATATATAGCTTACCTGCCTCTTCAAATTGATGCTTTTAATAATTGCTCCAGCAACTGGACTTTATCAGATGCATGTTCTAATAAACTTTTTTCTTAGGCTATATCAATTCAGGACCACATGAAGTCTAAAGGCGGCTACACAAATGGCACTCCTGCAACTGTTGAGATATAGGACACTGAGAGAAGGCTGAAATCCACTCTGTTTTACGAGGACCTTGTGGACTGTACTTTCATATTCTCAAAAACCTCTTTATCATGGAGTAGAGCAAGTACCTGAATTATAAATAGGTCAGTGCAAGCTTTGGTGTTCTTAGCACAATAGCTTCTGAAAAAGTTATTGTAAATTATCCTTAAAATGGTCTGTCATGGTACTGTTGTAGTAGGAACTGTAATTTGTCGCTGTGGATGACTTCATAGCTGTGTCCCAAAAACCTCATAAAGTTGTCTTGTAGGATGGGATTGGAAGTCAATAATGAACTGTCTGGGGTTTTGGTCTCTGTCTTTTTCTCCCCTCAAGAAATGAGGATGATTTAATTAGAAAATATCCTGTTTGCGCTTCTTACATGGGCAAAGCTGAATTATTAAGTAGGATCTTACAGCCTGTAATATGACTTTGGACTTGTTTTTTTAGATGGCTCACAACCTAATGCAGAAATCTACTGAGCTGTACTTTGATGGGTTTTTTTAATGCCTTTTCATGGTGAACGAACTCTAACATAATATATTTAGCTGAGTCTGCAAAACCCAGTGAAATTTCTGCCATGCTGTGATAACACTTTTCTAGCTAAAAATTGAGGTTTTGCAAACATACCCGCTCACAAATGAGGCTTGGAAAAACAGACGTTTCTCTCAGTTACTTGGTTGCCTCCCTTCCATATATGCATTAGTGTCACTGACAGGTATTACTACAGCAGAGCTAATAATATGTCCCAGTTAACTTCAAGTGGTGCTACAATATGCTCACACCTGTGTATTAATTTTGCATGACTATTGTTGAATTTTAAACTAAGCATATTTAAGATCACTCTCTTACCTATCTGTCACAGTAACTACACAGGACTTCAAGGGATATCTCACTTGCCTTCCTGGCTTCTTAATTTTGAGACTGGTTTGTTGGGTTTTTTGGTGGGTGGTTGTTTTGGTTTTTTTCAGATGTTTCTTCTGAAACATTTTTCAGATTTTTTTTTCTTGTATATGGTTTAAATAAAAAGTATGGTTTGAGTGATACAGCCATGTGAAGGACAGAAACTTAAAGAATATTGTGAAAACTTCCAGGAAAATGTTAAATGGAAACAGTGCCTTGCAGAGTTCCAGCACTTCATAAATATTTAAACTAGTAGCCATAAATGTTTAGCCATACCCAAACTACAGTTTTTCACTTAGTTCTTATTCATCTTTCTGTTAAGTGATATGACAAAACTGCTGAAGTAGAGCTAGGTTTTTCTTTTAGCCAATTACTGACAACTGTTCCCCAGCTCAATATTCTGAATAACTACCAGTGCAGAAACTTAGGATATCTGATTGGTGTCATGGGATTAACTAAATACAAGCGTTTACATCGCAGCCATATCAGCACTAGTTATGCTGGAATTCAGTGGGACTCTGTCCTTCTTGGTCTACGCATAAGATCAGTTATGAACTTTTTTCCATCTAAAAAAAACATCTAGGTGGCAAGTCTTTTAACCTGTATGGTTCTGTTTGTGGCTTGTGATACTTCTCAAATCTAGACTGCTGGCTTTGCTGAATTGTTAGGCTGCCTTTTCTGAGTATACTAGGGAACTTAAAACATGAAAGGTAGCTCTGTGTTTCTCTATGCATTCAAAATAAAACCCCTCCTCACTGTATTTCATCTTTAAGGGCCAAAGAGGAAGAGAGAATGTTGCTTTCTGTAACAGTCAACAGCTCATCATAACATTCTGCAACCACATAAGGGAAGCCTAACATCCGTGTCTTGCTAGATCCTTACTCTTGAATTAGAATGCATGCCAAATTATAATATATTTTAAAATTAGCATGAGTTAGCTGTACAGTTAGCCTTTTTAAGTCTTTCATATTTGTCTTCTAGCTTCAGATTTATTCCAACAGTCTAGTTAAGTACAGAGTTCAAAGAGCTAAATCCTGTATACTCTTGAGGAAGCATAAAGTGGCCAAGTTGTTTTACAGAATGGATTCTAATTAAATTGAGTTCATACATTCATTGGTCCATACCTGCCCAGAAGAAATAGTGATAGGCAGCTGTCATGAAGAAAATGGGTTGTATTTTGTTAACACTAAGAAAAGAAATTGAACATGAGTTAGTATTTCTTGAAGTATATCCATGCAGTATGCTTAGATTAGTGGTATATGTATAACTAGAAATAAAGAGGTTGATGATCATGTCAGTTCTTCTCTCTAAAAATAAACCAACAGAGAATTTTATTATTAAACTCTTATTTGTTTAAAAAAAAAATATCCTAGTTTTCATTACATAAACCAAATAGCACTATCTGGTGTAAAACTAACCTATTTTCATCAGACTATACAGTATTCTATAGGGCCACATTAAAGTGTCACATCATTAAACAGAAATGTTTTGCTATTGCATTAAGGGTACCATTACTTTTAAAATCTAAACAAACATAAAAGCATGCTTAGGTATTTTTTTGTTGTCTACTTAGAAACCTCATCAAGCTGTAATCTGTCATGTAACTGGGTATAAACCTGTCTTGGTTATAATAAATCTCTTTAACTAGGCACTTGCACTCTTCTCATATTGTTGAAAATCTTGATGTCTTCTCTGCAGTGAAAACCTGTTGGTCAAGTGGATGGGTCAGCGTGGCTTGAACTTTTATTGCACAAAATCAAATTTCTCCACTAGAGAGCACAATTTTCCATCCAATCTTTGCTGTTCGTGCTATGCAAGCTATTACTCCATTGTGGGATTGGTTTGTTTATTTGGGTGTTTTTGAGCTTGACTGGAATAAAATACAGCAAATAAGACCAAAGGATCCAACTTTTTAATCTACGTCGTAAGCTGTGAAGATCTTATATTGATGCAATGTGGTAATGAAACATTACTGCTCTGACTCGATGGCATTTTATGGTTTCTTTTGGTCGTTAGAAGTAAAATAACTTGCAAGCAGAGCAGGATCAAGTCTTTTATATGTTGTCTGTCAGAGTCTCAGCACTGTATCTGTTTGCTTCCTTAACCAAAAAAAAAAAAAGTCAGGGTGGGGGAAGTAACTGTTATTTTAAATACTGCCTGTCTTATCCCTTGATGTCCCTGCTAGGCTTTGCTGACTGTCCCATAACGCTGCATAAACCTGCAGTCAGTATATAGGAAAAGGTGTTTGGCTCTTTCACAGCCTATTACGTCTTTTTACCTCCTGTAGAGCAGCTTTGTAACACTTGTGTGTTGTCATGCTATGTTCCAAATTAGCCTATAATATAACTTGCAACCCAGGCATGTAGCCCTCTTCATTTGTATGACCTTGCCGAATTGGACTATCAGGTGCTTCTGTAGCTTCCACTCCATATAGACAAATGTTTGAGAGATTAAGAAATACCTTTAATCTTATTGTGCCTGCTAGAATAAGCACAATTTGACAACGCTAAATTCTGTGGAGGTATGTTAATGAAATTCATTATATGTTATTAAACACAGTAACACTGGGGGGGGGGGG